TCGAAGACGTTCTTCAGGGTGGGGAGGTATGAGCATTGTTCGCGGTCGCTCGCTCGTGACTCGTGACTCTTCTGACCCGGATGACCCCAGCCTCAATTACCTCGGACACATCCGCTCGGCTTCGAGAGTCTTTGCCGGTTTGCCGACCCCAACGGGGGTTGCCAGGACCCAAGTCAGGATCTTGTCAGGTGCTGCTTCCTTCTTTTATCCTCTCCTTGTGTTTTCTTACGTCGGCGTATATATGTATATCCTATTCTCTCTAGTTCCTCTCCCTCTCTCTCAATCTGCTAGAGACGCGATCCAGTCGAAATCGGAGCGGCTTGGTCACGCTTGTCCTCGATGGCTACGACACCCGGATCGATATCCCGCTGGGGATAAACCTCCCTAATCCTACCATCTGCGGGACACCTGCAGGCACACGTACTCGCTATACCCTGTGTAACCCTCGAGCTTACCCCGTATCCACGATTCACTCAAGATTTCCTAATACTTCGACCGGACTGGATTTGCAGACTCAAATCTTCTGTATTACTTGTTGACGTCGCTAAAAGTCGGTTTTATGCCGCCTAGTAGTGTCATTCGAGTAGATACGTGTCGTTTTTTAAAGGCCTAATAATTCCTGTGTATCAATCATATTTTTGTATAATAAAATTACAGTCTTATTTAAGCTAATGATAATGGTACGGTACTGAGCCAGGTACGGCCAGGCTGAGATATTGATACTATTGACCATAAAGTGTATGACCTCTTAACCTCGTGTTGGATTAACAGGATTGGCTTAGACATTAGCTCTTTGAGGTTATGCGATGTATGGGTTATAATTGGTGAGATAAATAACGTATAGATTTGATGAAAGTAACTCGCTGTAACGAATTTTGAACTGAATGGTCTATGTATGAAAAAATAAATAATTCACGTTGTCGTATGTAAAAATATATTTTTACGTATTTTTTTTACTAAGTACTTCACGGAGTATCTGTTTTCGTGTACTCTTTTTCACGTAACAGGATTCACGTTCCTGGATATTCTAAACTGTATACTTTTGCGGGTTATAGGTTCGCCTTTTAACGTCAAGAGACTTTTCTCCGAATTTTACCTGACGTTCCTTTTTGATCGATCAGCCTTGTCGAACACCGCAAACTGTCAAAACTTTGACTCGACTAGGATTATCCAGCCGTGACTACAGACAAACGCTCAATGGAAACCGGCGTCGCTATAACAGGGGGATTCCACGGTCGAGGACTAAGAACTGGGTAGATGGACGGGCGTCCCCACTTTTTTCAAGCCAGTTAATGCACAATGGAGATCCCATTGTGCCAAAAATCCAAATATTGTCACGGACACGAGATCCTGTTGAAGCAAGGACAGTTGTACTACTCAACTTTTATATATATATACACCAACCTATATAACACACTGGACAGAAACGATTCCTTTGGAATTCCAAAGTTCCTTCTCTCAAGCCAGAACGGATATTTGGTCGGCAGCCCAGTCGCAAATCTTGCTCGTGTCAAACACAACTAAATCGGTCCAAACCCCATGGTGGAAGGTTCCACCTTAAGCCACGTACATACCGCATATAAGTAGGTATAGTTCGGCAAATATAATTGAGCTGATACGAGGTTATGTTCTCTATGATTTCTTTTTTTTTTTTTTCATGAGTATTGTATATCTATATCTCCACTGAGCATATTTATAAATTACAATATATATGTGTATATTATATATATATATATGTATATATATATATATACGTATATACCTGTTGATTTGCTTGGCAATTTTAATCAGGATGGGTTTCTCGCTCTGGCAAACAGGAACAGTAAAAGCAGGGAATGGCGCTCGATGGAAACTAGCCTTGTCGTAGGGTGAGGCCTCGTTAAATCAGACTTACGCGACATTCGAGCTACAGGGCTAAGAGTTTAAGCATGGCGTGCCAGCGAAATCCGACTCTCACCGGCCCTGGGATAGCCACTCTATTCATTCATTCGTTCGTTCGCGTGCACGACCTACCGCGCGTCACTAATCTCAATTTATGTTCGGGAAAAATCAACTCCTCTTTCGATACCCAATTCCGGCCTTCCTACGGTACGGTATAGTATGGTATATTATATATATATGTATACTTACCTGTAGCCAAGTAACTGCCTACCTAATCCACCTAACCCATACGTCTTCTACATGTATATATATATATATACGTGTATATTATATTGGCTACTCTAGTTTCAATGGGTGGCCTTTTGTGAATTCTATGCCATTTGATTTCTTATGGGGACTCCATATGGGATGGCTGTGGGTAACGTTAAATTTCGTACCCCTGTACCTGTAAAACTGATGAACGAGTGTTAATTATAGGCTGCGGCATCTAATGATCATTTCGGAGGCGTATCTGCCTTTGAACGGGCGCAATTTGTAATGCGGACAAGTGCGCGTTTCGTGTGAAACCGTCATTACGTGATGTGGGCTGGGATTTCTTTTTTCTTTTTTTTTTTTTTTTTTATTAATGAGAAAAACTCAAAGAATTATTGGTGGTGCGATAGGCGGATTAACATAGGTCTCCGATGTACTGTGCTATCTGATCAAATGAAACAGCCAAGTTGTTGGCACCTGTGAAGCGGACTTAATTAACGTGCCCGTTTCTTATGATCGTGCTAATGGGCATTGATCATTTTAAAATTACTTTTTACGTAGCAAAAATTTTCGTTGGCAGGCGCGAGCATGGGTTTTATCAGATTTCGGACACGTGAATTGCAATCGTTAGCTCCTTTCTCGTTATCAAGATTATTCAGGGCAGACGTGCAGCTGTAAGCAAACTTTAATTAAGAATCGTCATTACGTGCTAAAGTACATCAATTAAATATCTTTCGTGATACGATTAATAGGTTATGTCGATAATCGAGTAACATCAAACAAGCTTCAGTTCGGTCCCAAGTAAAAATTAATTATCAAAATGAGAGTGCCCTTCGATGTCCTGGTCCCGTATGGTATAGGAGAGGAGAGTGGGACGGGTACTAGACTTGCATAAAAAAATTGATACTAGGAACGACTTAATAATTAATTGCTTCAAAAATCGAATTTGCTTAGCTGAAATAATTTCCTGCCAAAAAATTATAATGATTAAATATCTTTGGAAAAAAAAAGTAAGATGAAAACCGAAAACGAGTAAAATATAAAAATAAATAGTTCCGGGTTAAAATCGACATTGGCACTATCAGATCGGCACCGATAATCGAGTTGTTGGCACCTGTGAAGCGGGCATAATTAATACAGCGGTTCGGGATAGAGCGAAGCTAGGTCAGTGTTGATGCGAAGAGGGTGCCTGGGATAGGACGAGGCACGGAACACGAGGGTTATCGAGCAAATTAGCAGAGGCCGCATAGTCGTGGAAATAAAGTGGCCCGAGTGCAGGAAGTGGGCGGATCGGCGTCGGCTGGCGGGCAGCGACCAAGCAAGGGAAGCAGCGAGCGAGCAAGAAGCGTCGATCGTTTCTTCGTTTGGCCTGGCTCGGCTCCTCTTCTTCTTCGACTTCTTCCCATCCTCGTCTGGCATTCGGTCTATAAGTCCTCAGGTTGGCAGCCCTTCCCCGACTGGAGGTAATTAACGATTTAACAGACACGCTGGATGAGCATCGGCTCGTAGCCGGGCACACATCAGTTAACCAAGTTGTTATTAGGCTTGACGCGGCCTGGCGAGTCGCTGCGGAAAAAGATAGTAGTAACAGTATACTACCGGCAGTAGCAGTAGTGGTAATAGCAGCGCTAGTATCAGTATTAGTAGCATCAACAGCCAGGAGCACCGGCAGCAGCAGCAGCAGCGATGGTGACGAGGATGATGGTGTGGCGGCCAAAGCCGGCAGCCGTTAATGTTTTGTGTATTCAAATAAAGAGAGTTGATGCACATTGGCACGCAACAAACCGCCGACCGCCGGGTCTCTGCCTAATGGCTTTATAATGCCTTCATTTCACATCGAAAGCGCGCTAATTTCTACCACTTTCATTGTCGTCTTCGCTTCGTTTCGCATGGCTTTTCGCTTCCCTCTGTCCCTCACCGTCAACGATACGGGCGCGCGAACGCCTCTGGCGGCGCGAGCGCGAAGCTTCGAGGTTCAAAGAGACAGGGGAATCCCCGCGAAACGAGCCAACGGAAAAAATCGTTTCCTCGGCATTGACAGTTACCACGTACCATCGAGGCGACTTCGTTGCGTGTATAAATAGTCGTTTCAGCCCGTAAGGACCGTACGAAGTCTTTGACGAGTGTCGGGTAGTTTTAACGTTAGTCCGATACAAATAACTAAAACGGTAGGCACGGAGGAGTTGGCGAAGACCAAGTCAAATATCTGCGTAGTGGTTAAAGGAGCGCGGTGAGTTTACGTTGTTCGCGTGGGGAGATCGCGTGCATCCTGTAACCGGATAAGCGAGTCGATCCGAGGTAACATTTGCACGGGCGAGCAAACTTACCCGGAAATGGCGAATTACTCTATTTGCCGAGGGCACTTTCCAATTGGCCGGAGCCCTCGAAACTACGGTGAGCTGCTTACAAATTGCCCGGTGGGTGCTGCTCGGCTCGAGGAGAAGAGTGGCTGGATGTGTCTGGCCGCGTTTAAGGTGGCTAACCTGGAGTATAATGGATGGGGGTCGTTTATGAGGTATTTAGCGCTGCCCGATGGTGCTACGATGATGAACGAGAAGACCGCGTAACTCGTATTCCTATTCTTGGGTGTTTTCGAGGAAACGGAAGAAAAAAAGAAAAAAAAAGGTTTTAAAAGCCCGCGCTCACGGGTCATACAAAATTCACCGATATACCTAGAAATCGATGAGTGGCTTGCATTTATTTATTTATATATTCAATCCACATCACGAAATCGCTTTACTGTAATATTCAATGAGGATCCACATGTGTGTACGCATATGGAATATATATATATATATATATTGGTAGAGGAGATATATATCCAAGGAAATATAAACCAGTTGCCTTCAGGAAAAGCCATACAATTTATCTTCGGTACAAGAGTTTATTTAGGGTTTATTTACAATGGGGCGTGTAGCAGGCTTGCACAGCAATGGGTACGCGTTTTCACAACACAAGCGTTAACAATAATAACCTCCTATAACGCTAATGCTAATTCGTCTGGTACGCATCGTTAATACCATCAACTAATTTCGCTTAAACGAAGAGCCACGGAAACATATAAATAACAGTAACAATTTAAAAATCGAGAGTACGAAATATACAGCATTTTATTATACACGAGAGAAGGAGAGAAAAAAAAAACGCAGGCCCGCAACAGAGACCTTTATCCCCGTATATCTGTCCTATTCGTCAGTCACGTTGATCCGTAAGTCCGTCTCGGTCGTTCTGTACAGTCCCGTGTGTGTATATATATTATATATACATAAGTACCAGGATAAATCGGCTAGTACTCTAGATACACCTACGATACGGAAGTATACTCAAAATATGTACAGATTTTCATTTTTTTTTCAAAAATCATAACTCAGAGCGATGAACAGGTGAGGGTAGTGGGAGCGCAGGGGTGGGCAAAGAAAATAACGTCCGCTATACAAAAATCGAAAGGGTCCGTGTCGTAACGGGCGTTTCGAGAAAAAAAAAACAAAAATAGTCGGTACGCTTCTTTCAGCTGATCGCCGGAAAGAGAAGCGTTCGTGGAGAAAAGTGAAGAAAACCGAATAAGGGATGAAAAAACGGGGAAAGCACGAAATTACGTGAGAAAAAGTGAAACGGCGGTAGGAAGGGTAGTATTGGAGAAAAACAAGAGGTGCTAAGGAACGAACGAGAGCGAGTAAAAGGGAAAAAGGGGTATTTGGGGAGGGGGCAGGCGGGGGGAGGTAAGCGTGGAAGGAAGGGTACTGGTGGATGACGAGTGTCTCTTTAAAGCAGCGACTACGAGGGTGAAAGGTCCTGTGGATCCTTGCATAGGCTATCGGTGGGCGAGGGGGTGGCACGCCTCGATGAGGACGGAGAGGGTGCAGCAGGGGTGGATGGTTTGGGGGTAGCGGGCCCATGGGCATAGGGTGAGAACCTGTGATGAGCAAGAGCAAGGGCCGAGGGATACATGGGTCTGGGCGCAGCCGGACCTGGGGGACTGTGCTGGGCCCCGGACGCAGCCAGTTGTTGTTGCTGATGATGAGCAGCAGCGAATAACGTGGGTCCCAGCGATGAGGCCCACCAGAGGTGGTTAAGTTGTTGCTGCTGCTGTTGCTGTTGTTGCTGCTGCTGTTGTTGCTGCTGCTGTTGCTGATGCTGATGGCCAGAGGTCGAGGCTGCCGCCGAGGCGCCGGGATAAACCAGGGCCGGATTGACCAGCTGCGCGTAAGGCCCGACTGCCGCGGCCGCCGCGGCGCGCAGGAGAATCTGCGATCGTGCTGCCCACAGCGCCTTCTCCTCGAGGCTCAGACTACTAGCGCCACCCGACTGCAACTGCTCCATCTCGAAGGAGAAACGATGTGGAAATCGCAGCGACTGCTGCTCCGCCAGCATTGACTCCATTGTCTCCCTGAAAGGGGAGCTGCGCCATTATGATCGCGTCATTCTCCTCGCGACGTTCTTGGAATAATTTAACAAAATGTCATTTCGTCCGTAAAACGCGAGACGAGCGATTCGCGGCAGGTTCTTAGGCCCTTTTCTTTTTATATATCCCGCTCGACTCTTTACTGGAATTACGTAAAGTGCGGCTTTCGAGAAAGCACGTCACAACCATGGGGATATACGTATTGCTCAGCGTTGAGGAACTTGGCGTACGGACTTCCGGCAAGTATTTTGTATTTACTCAAAAGCTCTGACCGTCCGACCAGCTATTTTCCGATTTACTTTATTTGCTTCTATTAGTCATCTATATTATTAGTTTTTTCAAACCGTCGTGTTTTACCAATAATTTAAAAGCGCCGCGCCGACGGGGCTTTACGTGCTGTATTCGCGAGCACCTTTAACGATCGCACGGTAAAAAGCTACGGTATTAAAATAAGTTTGTTTATCGTAAACTCACCTCTCGAAATCAGTGAGCCTCGAGGAATCACGAAATCCCTTGGCGAAGGGGTTGCTGTCTATCTTGAGCTTGGTTATCTGAAAGTCAAAAAACCGTCGAAAGGTTCCGTGATCCATGAAATTCCATTCTTCATTTTTTCTTTTCTTTTGTTAGAACGACACAAAGAAAAAAAAAAAAGGCAGAAAGGAAGAAAGGAAAACGAAAAAAAAAAAAAAAAGACGTGAAAAGGTCAATATTCCTGAATGACCACCCAGAAGGCAAACGGAAATAGGTGGACACAGGAGGACGTATCTGCCCAGATGTCCCTGGTCAGTGCTAAACATCCCCAAGGAAAATCGTGTTCTCAAGAATGTCAAGGGTATAAAATGGACGCTGCCGTTAGGGTGGTCCCGTAGGATTCCCATGTTGGTAAAATACCAAAGTATTATAGATCCCCGAGCCGAGGGTGACGGGCGTCGCTACTGAACTTCTCCAGTGTCGGCGGATTTATCTGGCGAAACGAGCCAAGTGCCGTACGTGTATACATATATATATACACACATATATGTTCCGAGTAGTCACCAAACTGAAGAAGAAGAAGAAGAAGAAGAAGAAGGAAGAGTGGAAGAAGAGGAAAAGGAAGGGAAGCAAAAGGAAGTGGGAAAAGGGGAGGGAGGGCTCGGGAAGGGATGAAGGGAAGCGAAGGGGAAGTGCTGCGTGAAGTGGGTGGTCCAATTACCCCCGGGTTTCGCGCTCGTAGAGCCAGCACGTGCACCGGTTCGCCCGGTAATAAGACTCTTTCCTTCAAAGCCGAGCCAAGCCGAGCTTTGGTTACGATTCCGCTGACATCATTAGCCAGACATCTGGTTGGGCCTTTACGATCGACCCGTGCGAACCGACCTTTATTTCTTATCTCTTTTTTTTTCCTTTTCCTCCTATTTTTATGCCTTATCTATAATAACAGGCTGATATCGACGAGAGCGTTATCCGTGGGAAGTGGGATTTTTTTTTTGAATTTTCATATTATTTTCAAAAGTCCCCTCGGGACGACTTCGATTTGCGTGGCGAACGGAAGTTAACGCGGTGCGACGGTGGATTCACGAATTGAGAGTGTAAAGAGCGAGTGACTTTTTTCTTTATTTTTCTCTTGGCTGAATTACCGTGTCGATGACACCTCGGTCTTGGCCGGAATCCCGGAACAAACGCCAAACCGCACGTAACGTAAGGAGATACACCGTAAATCGCGATATTATTGGACCGAACGAATAAAACGTAACGCTCTAGGCGGCGAGTCCCCGTTATTGTGGATTTACACTTACGATATAGCCACGTTGCGTCGCGCCACATTTTTTCAATCTATTACGTCATTCCGTTCTGGCACCAAAGAACAGCCCCCCGTCCATACGGCAACGAAGTTAGAGATAACGTTGTAAAAAAAAAATTAAAGCAGTTTGCAATTTTTACTTTTACACCAAATTGCCAAAGGGCAGCCCGAAAGCAATCGATGATCCCGCAACCTATCGGAAGAATGAGCAACCAATTAATCGTTCAATTAATTCAAACGCGCACCCGGATTTAATCGCAAGCAAAAAAAAACGGCCAGGAGCGGCGAATCTCGGGGGCCCGTGTCGCCATAATTCTTTTTCGCAACTCGACAAAGAGCCAGGTCCCGTATAGCTATTTCACGAGATGAAGCCGTAATTGAAAGGGATGCTTTCGCCTGGATAGTCTAATAATAGATTTAATAGAGACACGCTCATTGAAGAAGGGGTCGCGGTCGTACTTGGTTGCGCTATGGATATATATATATATATATAGAGAGAGAGAGAGAGAGAGAGATATGAGGCAGCTAGAGTGTACAGTTGTCGTAGGGATAGTGTAGTACGTCAGTCGGGATACTATGAGGCCCAAGGTATAAGGAGTAGACCTCGTAAGATAGGAGTCAGTCGGTTGGCAGCGGTGGGGGGACGAAGAAGCTGGCAAGAGAAAGAGAGAAAGAGAGCAAAGCCGCCGTGTGTGGCTCGGAGGCTGCTGTCTCATTTGAACGCGATTATTTATGTTTTCTTTCGTTCGAACGCCGACGCCGACGCCGACGCCTGCAGCCACTAAAGCCATCGGGTCTCTTAGGCCTCTTCGTTTGCGCCCGCTAAACGCCTCCATTTCATCCCTACCCCTTCGGCCGCTTCGTGCCACCGACACAAGACCTCGGAACCAGAGAGACGGAGGGGAGAGTAAGCGCAATGGTGCACCCGGGGAAAAGTGTGAGAATAAGAAAGAAAAAAAAAAAAAAAAAACGAAAAAAGCGAACACTTTGCGTTCCACGCAAAGTTTCCTGCTACTCTTGGTCACCCGTTAGCCCATTTTATAACCACTTGAAAGAGTTTACCCAAGAAAGTGGTTAAGATCGTAGAGAACCCGTACGTCGTACCGTTTTCTATATCGCGCCTGAGCGCGAGAGAGACAGACTCATGCGAGTTTACGCGTGAGAGACAAGGACGCGCATAAACGATCTGCCCAAAATCTACCTTCGAAAACCACAATTTTATCGAATTTCCGTCACATGGATTGCTCGTGATGTTTTTTTTTTTTTTTTTTTTTTTTT